TCTCCAGCATCTGCAGTTCCTACTATCTCTCCTCATGACTGAAACTTTTTATCCAAGACAACGTCTGGTAATCCCGTCTGCACCGTCTCCAGTGCCAATATGTCTTTCTGACCAGTATGGTGATGAGAACTGCACACAGTATTCCATCTGTGGCCTAACCAATTTTTTAATAACTAGACTTCCTTGCTCCTATATTCTATGCCCCGGCTAAAGAGGGCAAGTATCCATATGCCTTCTTCACCACCCTGTCTACCATTGCTGATACTTTTGGGATCTATGGACTTGCACAGCAATGTATCTTTGTTCCTCAGTACATCCTAGGAGGGTACCATTCACGTATGTGTATGATCTTCCCTTATTAGATGTCCCAAAGTGCATCACTTTACACTTATCGTGATTAAATTACATCTGCCATTGCTTTGCCCAGTTCAATGGCTGATCAATATCAGACCGCAGCCTAAGACCGTCCTCTTCACTGTCAACAATACCCCCAATTTTCATGCCATCTGCAAACATTAATTATACCTTCAACATTTGCATCCAATTCACATAACAAACAGCAGGGGTCCCAGCACCAAACCTTGTGGAACATCACTGGTCACAGGCTTCCAATTATATAAACAAACTTCCACCATCACCTTTTGCCTCCTATTTGTAAGCCAATTTTGAATCCAGTTTGCCAAATGCCTTGAATCCCATGGGCTTTTACCCTTTAGACCAACTTCTCATGTGGGACCTTGTCAAAGACCTTAAAGAGTTATAAGACTTGCTGTCCTACTTGAAACAACGTAAATAGCTAAAAATTATGGCCTATGTTTTTTCTCCAGGGCTTCGGTAGATCTTTAAACAATACTGAAGCAGATTGGGGAACCACTGTGGAAATTCTCTTCCAAGATATACAGACATCCTTGGACAATAATGCATTGATACTAAATCAAGGCCTGAAATTGAATTTATTTCCTGTAATTGAAACAAACTTGATTTGATAAAGAATGTTTGAAATTGAACATGAATGTGAATGTTTTTTAAATGAAAATTTTTTTCACTTAAATAGAATTATTGAGCTTTTATATAGTAGCTCCTGTAATGTTGAAATGAGTATTCACAATGGTTCCAAATTCCATATATGTCAGTAATTGCACTTGGGTGGTTTGAATAATTTTGTTGTATTTGTACTCCATTGTCTTAGAGCTGGTAAAACGTTTGACAATAGATAGCAATGGCTGATAATTAGAGGAATATGACATGTCTAAAACATATTTAATTTCCTCTGAGATACAAACACCCAAAAGAAACAGAGAATGGTTAATGAAACAAATTAGTGATTTCATTGGTAGATTAAATGAATTGGATTATACGGACACTAGAAAACTTAATAAACCTCAGCATTTGGAGCAATTTAGATTCCAGTAAAGGAAGGCTAAAAAATCTGATTAAGATAAAGAAAAGAGAATATGAATGCAAATTAATGAGGGACATAATAGGTGACCAAAGGACTTGTGAAATTAGGGAACCAAAGTAAATTGGTATTTGTAAAGAAGTATTACTTGAAGAGTTAACTGGATTGAAGGTTGAAAGATTCCCTGGGACAGAATGTTGATCAAGATAGTTAGAGAGATAATGGATGTATTGCGATTACCTTCCAATTCAACAGATACTGAAAAGGTTCCTAAGGACTATAGAATAGCAAATGTAACCCCACCATGTAAGAAAGGAGGGAAAAGGAGAATGGAGAACTACAGACCTGCTAGTTTGACGTCTGTAGTAACAAAAATATTAGAATCGGTTACAAAGGATTTGATAACTCAATACTTCAAAAAGAATAGTAAAATTGGACAGAGTCTTCATGGATTCACAAAAGGGAAATCATGTTTGAGGAACTTGTTGGAATTTTATGACAATATTATTTCTAGCATTGATAAAGGAGAATGAGTCTTCTAAAGCACATTGAATGTGGTGTATATCAGAAGACTTTTGATAAGGTTTCACATGGGATGTTAGTAAATAAAATCAGGATGCATGGAATTGAAGGAAATAAAGGCGTGAATGTTGGTTGAGGATACAAGGAAGTTTCAAAAGGACTTGGACTGGCTAAATGAATAAGCTAAAGCGTGGCAGGTGGAATGTAATGTGAATAAATGTGGAATAGTAAAATCAGAAAGATAGAATATTTCTTAAATAATGCGAAGTTCCAAAGGCACTTGAAGTTAGTAGCAAACTATCGGGAAGGCAAAAGGTACATTGGCCTTCACTGCTGGTTGATTTCAGAATAGGAATAATGATGCCTTGCTGCAGTTGTTCAGAGCCTTGGCAAGATTTCACCTGGAGTACTGTGTTCAGTTTTAGTCTCAATTTCTAAGGAAGGATATACTTGCCATAGAGGAAGTGAAATGGAGAGTCACTGGATTAATCCCTGAGATGCAGGTTGTCATGTCAGGAAAGACTGAGAGACTGAGTCTATATTCTCTGGAATTTTGTAGAATGAGGGATGACCTAATTAAAGCTTATAAAATTCTTACAGGTGTATATGGCCTAGATTTTCCTCCTGAACTGAGAGTCTAACCCTTAAGTTTGTGCTAGACCTCGGCCAGACTGAGAATGTATACGGGGGAACCTTTACAAATTAAAAGTAAAAGTTGGTTCTGGCTTCTTATGAGAAACAGCTGGTTCAGTTGCCACTGACTGGAATAAAAGGCTCGAGCCCAAGTTTGATAGTGCGAATTTGGTTGAGAAAGATTTACCTGGATTGGCTGAACATTTTTGAATTAGAAAATGACTGCCTGAGTGAAATCCTAATTAAATACCTAAAAGTTTTTTAGGAAGGTCTAGGAACTATCAAAGGAGCCAAGACCACCTTGTGTGTTGACCAGGAACTGATTCCATGATTCTGCAAGGCCCACCTGGTGCCATTTGCCTAATGGGCAAAAGTAGAGGCAGAAATCAGGAGGCTGGAAAGCGAAGGATCATCGAACCAGTCC